ATATATATATATATATATATATATATATATATATATATATATATATATATATATATATATATATATATATATATATATATATATATATATATATATATATATATATATATATATATATATATATATATATATATATATATATATATATATATATATATATATATATATATATATATATATATATATATATATATATATATATATATATATATATATATATATATATCTATATATATAAAGTTTATTCCTAAACCAATTGACCCTTTGCTAAGCCCCGCCTTCTTTACTGTTACTGTTGCTACGCCTGTCAAGCTTTCGTGCCTGTGGCACGTCTATTACATTGTGTATGCGCTAGCGTTGGACATTCCCAGGGATATAATTAGTTATTTTTGGCAAATAGGTGAGATATCCGAGAAAGCCAGTAAAAAAAAGGACTGCAGTATGCGTTACAGGGGTATATTCAGGACATAATAGGCAACCGATTAAAAAATAATTTGATCAAAATTAAAGCTAGGTTAGCCTAGCTGCCTCATACGCTAACCATTCAACAGCTCAGTTCATGCAAAGCAGGAGAGGTGACATTTAAAAACAATCTAAAAACTAATTAAATCGTGATTTCTCTTTTTTTAGCCAAAAAAGTCTGAAGATTAATTGCTGTGCAATGAAATATAGCGTTACTAACTGACGAGGAAACGCACATGAACAGTGCTTCTACATAATTCATTCAAGAGCAGCCAGAAAGGGGAAACTGATGGATTTGGGCCGAATATTAGCATCATTGACTATAACAATGTACAGCACCTATATCTGTCAGTATGTTTGTGTGCTCTTCATCCAGTTTCTATTCTAATTTGCAGTTCAGTGGAAGAAATAAATGGACATATGATCGCTGTTAGCATGACTACTATAGCGAGGGCTTAAACGGAGCAGTGCTCATAATATCAAGCGAAAAAGGAAAAAAAACAGCTGGGAAACAGAACCTGCTTTGTATTTTTGTAGGAAAAACAGTTTAGATCTGTTTAAGGTAAGAGGTGTGTGAGTTATTGCCGTCCAGTACTGAATGTGTCAGGAATATCGAAAACAAAACCAAATTATCTCGGCTCCTTTAGCGCCCCTCACAGAGCTTGATCCACGCTGGGATTTCACCTCTTGGGTTTTAAGTTTTGGATTAGGGAAAAAATTCCACCACCCCGTCCAAACTTTTAGAATACTAGGTATTAGATTTGCACAATCCATACGCACAACACTTTGGCTTGTTTCCCTCGCTCGAAAGCTTGACAGATCTGCGCGTAGCTATGGTTGCTAAGCCATTTATATTGAACTTCTTCAGTATAAATCAATTTTCTGTTCTGATCTCAAGCCTAGGCAAATAATGCCGAGTTCAGACTGCATGATTTTCAAAGTAGTCGTGTCACAGATGTTTTCAAACTGCTTGACTATCTGGGCTAGTGTTTTGTCGCTGCTTTGTTTACACTGCAAGATGGATCGGCGACAGGGACTTTCACATTGCATGACTTTACTATAGGAAGAATCGCCGACAACTTCGTCCAAACTACATCTCGCAGCCAAAAACACGTCGTATATCTTTTGTTATTAACTACATAATGGGAAAGAAGCCTTTAATGGGGTAGAACATGTACATGTTTGCTCACCTGGGTTTAAAGGGAATTAGCCATTTCTCCTCAACGTTGATAATAAACTCATTTCTTTCCGTATGAAACGTCAAACAGACACGGGTGCTCCTGAGTCCTGTCAAACCTCCACTAGTTTTTCCTCCATTTCGTGGGTCGAAATAAACCGAAAAAGAGCGCTTTTAACTTCTCCCCCAGCCTCCCGCTGGCCTGCAGCAGGTATACACACACACACACACACACACACACACAAGTGAATGCTGCTCTCTCATTGGCTGTAGGCGATCGCTGATGTTATTTTTTAGTCAAAACTCAATTCACACGGCATGATTTGAATCGCCGACAGCTCCAGATATTTTGCACGCCAAATATCTCGCAGGCATCAGCGACACATCGGCCTGCGATTCTCTCAGATCGCGTCTTTGAAAGTGCATACTGTGTGATTGTTACTCACGTGCACGAGCAGCGATTTGCCTGTGATTTCAGGCATTTGTCGGCGATTTCTCAAAACTTGTCGGCGAGCCAAAATCGGGGCTAAAATCACGCAGTCTGAACTAGGCAAATAACTGAGAACGCACCAAATAAAGGCCCAATTTTTATGATGTCATCAAGTAGACACCTTAAAACCTAAGTAGTAAATACAGGGTTAATCAAAAGGCAACAGAATCTGTGAATCTTTGTAAACACTTTGATATCTTTTTGCGAATCCGTACTTCCCCTACCAAAATGTGACGATGTGAGTCTTATTTTAAAACACCTGCACTTTTGGAATTTGAACAGTTCATTTTTTTGTAATGGAGATTTACATTCTTGATGACTAAAAAAATTATTTAAAAAAATAAAAAGAGGTAAATACAGGGTTCGTACGTCATGGAAAACCTCGAAAAGTCAAGGAATTTTTAAAAATTTGCCTGGAAAAGTTTGGGAAAAACAGAAAACCCCACAAAGTTTTGGTAAAGTCATGGAAAACAGATATCTACTTATTTACATCTTTTCTGTCCTTGGCCAATCACATACTCTCACATTATGAGTGCGGTGTAAGCATTATCTAAATCAATTTTACATAGACATAAATATAAATTAAAACTAAATAGATTGTTGCGTGTTTTACGATATTCTGTAAAATTTTAGCATGCAATGTTTTTCTTTAACCACGCATACGTAGACATTGCGTGAAACATTTGGTCGTCAAAATTTACTTGAAAGTCTTGGAAAAAGTCATGGAATTTTAGCAGTATTAATGCGTTTGAACCTTGTAAATACAAATGACTATTTTGTATTCATAAATACTATTTGAGCCACACTCAAACTCCCACTCATTGCGAAGTCTAATTTTTCCTGGCTGACATCACCGAGGGTTCCGTTTCCTACTTTGGATCTCTGTGTTTGACTCTGAATTAACTCTATTTAGAGATCACATTTAAACTGTTTTCACTTTTAATAAAAATATCTTGCAGTGAAGAAAGCTTCATTTTATTTCATTAGACTGACTTCAACAGATTAACTTAGATTCTGTGGCCCTACATTTAAGATTACTATAGCTTTACTGCAGTACTAAAGCTACAATATTACTATAGACAATTTCGAGGAACGTAAAAAACAATGGTCCCAATGCATTTCCTGTTTTGCATTTTTTTTTATTTCTTTAGCTTCTGAGAATCCAAAAAGAGCCACATATTGATAAATAATGTTATGATTGATGTTTTAACATTAAGTTATGACTGAATTGCCTCTTGTTACAGTTATGAAATAGTTTGATAACAAGCAGGAAAAGTTCATGGGCCAATATCACCACATTAAAATGGTCGATAGCAGTGGTTCTCAAACTGGTACGCAGGCTTCCTTCTAGTGGTACGCAGAGGAATGAAATATGTCATGTACATGCTACACACATTTCAAAATTTATCAAAAATGATTTATATAATATGCCATATATGACATATAGCTTATATTTCTGAGGTAATCTGCCACGTTTTTTAAACTGTGCAGAGTTGTAGCTGCTTTACTGGGCCTACTACACTACTGGATTTCAATACTGCTCATTTTGGTGGTACTTAGAGACAATTTTTTTTTTTTTTTTTTTTTTGAGGTGGTACTTGATGAAACAAGTTCAAGAAACACTAGTCTATAGCAAACCATAGTGCAAGAAACTTGTTTTTTCAACATGGTTCCTACAGTGTTATCATAATATGACAATATTACTATAGTAAAACCATGGTCTCAAAACTGACCAACAAATCCAAAACAAAACACTGAAACAGATTAAAATGGCCAAAGGGTTCGATAAAATTGGTTATTAACGTTAATTACAATAAAAAATAGATAAACTAACCGTCGAGAGGCAGAAAGGCCTCTTCAGATGGAAGTGTTTGTGCCCTGAGTGAACAGCGGTTGGCGCTAATGCACTACTTACCGCGCTTTTCACATATAAACGTCATCAGGCTGCGCCGCGCTCCTGCATCTGCTGCTGTGATCGCCTGAAGAAAGGTTTGTGTTCCCAGACATCTATCTTGTTTACATTAATCCAAATCGTATCGTTTTTACCTTAGATGCGATGCTATTTTTTATATTTGACGTCTCAAAGCTTCATCTAACAGGAAAATACGTTTTATATTTAGAAAAAACGCGTCTGCACTGATTAATTGGAGAAGCGTATCTAAGATGTCTGTCAGTTTTTTCACAAAGACTATTAAATAACGAAGAGAAAACTGCTGACCTGCTGGTTAAAAAGATACTACAACGTTAAATAGCAGCCTACAAACGAGAACTAACTAGCCAGGTTGGGAGCAAGCCAAAACTAGCTTAAACCAGGCTGGTCAAGCTGGTTTTAGCTGGTCATTTTTCAGCCTGACCAGCTAAGACCAAGCTGGAATTGGCTGGAAAAAAGCATGGAAGTGGCCAAAACCTCTCTAAAACCAGGCTGGTCCACCAGCCAACCAGCTTAGGCTGGTTCAAGCTGTTTTTTTCAGAAGGGTGGACAAAACATTTTTCAAAATAAAAAGATTTTGCGTCTCAAATTTCTGCAGAGACTCACAAATATACATATATGAGCTTTGCCAAACATACTTTCTGTAGTAAAACGTCTCATACGCACATATTTTGCATGAGTTTCTCACACTGAGTTTATAACAGTCTGCACATCCTTAAAAGGTAAGTGTTTCATATGAAACTGAACTTCACGGCTGTTAAGAAGCTTGTATGAAGCGTATCCATCTGTAAATGTAAGAAATAATTTCTATTCTGAATATAGACATGATCAGGTTGTACATAAAAGATTGAATAAGTCGTTCAAGACTAGCGCTGCATGGTATTGGAACAAATTGCGATATTTTGTTTTTCAGCGATATGGAATATACTCCACTAGATAGATTGAATAACTCTTTTTGTGGATAATTTATTATTTCAGAATGATTTTATAGGGATGATTTATATCTGCATAAAATAATAAATGTAATTTTTATGCACATTAGGCATTGGACGATAACCGTTTTCAAGGTATACCGTGGTTTGGAAAAATCAAGGTTTTAAAACCGCCAAAATGTTTTGAAATAGCGTTCCTAAGCTATGTGTAAGATTTTTTTATTATTTACATTTTTTTGTTTGTTTTTTTAGGACACCAGAATCTTCAGCAGAAAAAAATATTCAAAGATGCTGTTTTAAATTGTAAAGAAGTATTTTTAATATAAAGGAAGACAGAAGTGATTCATTTTAATTATTTAGCCTGACCTGTTTACTGCTCCAAAATATTATAAATGTTTCTCAAAATAAAATACATTGTTTTCAAAGGCGAAAAAGTAGTTTTTTACCCAGACTTTTAAAAAGATTATATTTTAGAGCAGTGATCACAATACCGTGATATTTTTATCCAAGGTTATCATACCGTCAGAATCTTATTTTTATTTGATGTTTGACGTAATCTCTACTGAAACATATAGAGAAAACAGTAGCTCTGCCCCTTTAAAAAAGTCAATATATTTAGTTTTTATCAAAGCCTTAATAGGCACAAATGTTCAGAATGATCATGAAAATGTGTGTGAATGGATCAAGTAGCAGGCTGCGCACGCTGTAAACCACCTGAAATGTTGTTTTGGTTATTCTAAAATGCTTTAACCATTATAGTATTAGTGTTATTATATTATTAATGACCTCCAAGGCCCTGTTTACACAAATGGGTTTTAGTTTGAAAACGCATACATTTTGCTATGGTTACGCCATCTGTCCACACTACGCCGGAGTTTTCGAGCGACGAAAACAAAGGATTAGCTGTTTACTTTCTGAAACGCTGCTGCTCCGTCTCAGTGTGGATGGGGAAAACGGAGACATCTGAAAACGGAGATGGGGCTGCTGAGATTCGCTACCTGATTGGGGCTTTTGTGTCATTACGTATCCTTCCCTTATTTATCAAGCCCCTATCACATGACTATAACACATGGCTTTAACACTACCAGAAGACAGCAGACCAGCCTTCACTGTAAACAACAACACAGACACAACTGGGAGCGTTGTTTGCACTATTGTCTATTTTAGGCTCCATTGTGCAGTTATTCATTTGTTACGTTTAGTAAAAACTCGACTTCGTCGTCCGTCCACAAAAATACCTCTCTTGCTTTCTTTGCCGTCGCGTTAAATTTACAACCGGCGTTTGTTGACTAAAAATAGCCAAATGCCGAGCGAGACGCATTCTTCCTGTTTATACTAGAACGCGCGTGCCCAGAGTGCGCGAATGGTCACGTGATATACGTTTTTGGTGGCGTAGTGTGGACGGAGATATGTTCAGAGACGCTAGGTAAAACGCTAGTATGGACGCGGATCGTTTTTGATCTAAAACGCCATTTTAAAACTAAAATGCACTAGTGTAAACGGGGCCTCACGCCTTCCTTGCATGTCGGCATTGTCTTCCAAGGTGCAAGTCATTTATTAAATAAAAGATTCGCGCAGCTTCTTCAAATGCAGCAAATGTTTTTAATGTTGATATTTGGCGCCAGATAATCAGGAAGAGTCTATTTTCTACACTTTGACTCATTAAATGGAAACGCTACTTTATTTGCCTATCTTTTATGTAATAATCTAGTTTTACGCATAAATTAAATTCGCTTCTTTGGATCGAAACATAGCTACTGACCAAATTCACGTTTAGAAGATATAAAACGGATATAAACATGTAAAGCTTGAAGCTTGAAGTTTGTCACTTCCACTCAAATGAATCAACCGTTTTATTCACATCACCCCACAGTTTCTCCTCAAATCTTCCCAAAATCAAATCTTTATCAAATCAAATGCTCTCTAGTTTCTGACATGCCCCACCCCCTTCGAGATGCTTCTCATTTGCTGTTCGTTTAATTTGCCAGTGAGAGTGGTTGAGCTCAAGCAGAGCAGTGATGACACAAAAGGGCTAGGCAATATGGGGTTCATACTCTGGTATATTTTAAGTAAGGCATGATAAACCACATATATCCCTGTATATTCTTGTGTACAATGCTCAGTTAAATTCAAAGTCAAAAGCATTGTGTGATTGTTATAAAAATATTAGACATATAGAGCTGAAAAACTGCTTTTCTTGGTTTGAAACCATGATTGAGATGGTTCCAATGTTTTTGGAGAGAGAGAAAAGAGCAAACCCTTCGAAAAAAAAAAAAGTTCTTGGCACATTTTCAACTAATTAAATTAATAACACTTCATTACAGAATGCTAGAAGCAGTTTGTAATATTTAAAATTAATGAAACAACGTGTTGCATGAAGCCCCTTAACTCCTCCATAAAGGCAAGTGTTCACGGTGTGAGTAAACTATAAAGGCTGATTTATACTTCTGCGTCAATCGCACGCGTATGCTACGGCACAGCCTCTCAAACAATGTAACTACACATCGCAATGACGCGTAGCGCAAGCTCTGTGATTGGTCGGCTTGGTAGCGCTGACGAGTCTGGGCGGGACCGAGAGCCGCCTGAGCGGCGTGAGCCTGATGGAGCGATTGTTTACAAGTGTGGAGTCCCGTGAAGGAGCTCCTGATGAAGAGTTTTGTTTTGTGTTTACCTCATAGTTAAAGTTGTTGCACGTCCGCCGGTTCCTGCCTCAAAATGAGCGAGTTTGAGCCACTTGTACATCCCGGAAGTGTTCAGGAAAAGCAATAAAGCAGCGAAGAAACTCGACACAGAGACACATTAATACCTCACTGCCAACTAGCGTTTCGGAAGTGTTAATGCAGACCAACAGAGACAGCGCGCAGAAGTATAAATGCACAGCTACGCGCGTTGCATGCGCCGTTGGTTACGCCGGTCACTTGACGCAGGAGTATAAACCAGGCTGGAGTAACACTGGTTTGGTTAAGGTCTCAATTCATGCTATCTACTTGGGTCTTATTACCTGCCTATCAATAAAATATTAGCTATTCAATAATAGTTATAAAGTATCGTCTTATACTGCATCCATAATCCAACCCATAACCGAAACCCAACGTCTACTTTACTAACTATTAATGAACAGCTAACTTAAGGCTGATCGGCGTGCATGTATACTTCTGCATGCTGTTTGTGAAGCTCTGCAGTAACACTTCTGAAATGCTAGCTGGCAGTAGGTTATGAAGTTTCTCTGTGTCGAGTTTCTTAGCTGGTGTTTTGTTTTTTTCTGAACGCTACCTTATTGTATAAGTAGCTAAAACTCGCTCGTTCTGAGGTGGGAACCAGCCGATGTGCAACAACTTTAATCATAAGGTAAACACAAAACAACAGTGTCCATCTAGAGCTCCTTCACGGGACTTGTAAACACTTGCTGCATCGGGTTCGCGCAGCTCTCAGCACCGCCCACACTCGTCAGCGCTACCAAGTCGACCTATCACAAAGCTTTCTCAACCACATTCCTGGAGGACAACCAGCTCTGCACATTTTCCATAGCTGCGTCCGAAACCGCATACTTCCATACTGTACAGCACGCGAAAATCAGTACGCGAGCCGAGTAGTATGTCCGAATTCATAAAATTCGAAAATCAGTATGCGAGAAGTACCCGGGTAACTTACTACTTCCGGCGAGATTCTGAATTGCGCACGCTGCACTTTCCCATGATGCTCCGTGGGCGAACTCATGAATGGGAGTGAAGCGACGCAACTGACGCAGATGTAGGTTACATGACCATTACAAAATGGCGGATGTAGTAGTGTCCGAATTCCATTCATACTGCTCACATTCATACTGTATAGAACGTACACTTCTAACGGCCGAGTAGTACGTTTAAATTCAAATGCAGTACCTACTAGGTAGTAGGCGGTTTCGTAATGGGTGTGACAAGCAAAGGAGACACCCAAAACATGTAGTGTTGGTGGTCCTCCATGTACGTAGTTGTGCAACACAAAGGTTTTTTTTTAAATAGCAACTCTAAAGACGGTTGTTTATGCTTCGCTATTCAGCTAGTTTGCCCTTCTGATTGGTCAGCATCAGATGGGTTCATCTTAAATTTAAACTGACAGATCCCAAACTTTTTTGACACATTTTAAAATGATCAGGAGCTCGTAAGCCGCTTGTACACGGTACAAGTCATGAACATATAAGCGTTAAAAACTGCTGCTAATTAGAACTGGGCGATAAAATTATATATAGACGATAGAGGTGTAAACCTACAACAGTCTCACGGTTCGGTTCGGTTAGGGTTATCATGCCATCGATTCGGCTCAATTCAATATCACACGATGCATTGTCAATGCTTTCCTTACACCATTATATTTTACATCACAGCACAAGAATTCTTGTATTAAAATGTATAAATGTATTTATATGTTATTAGGGACGGAGCAAGATGGCGTTGGTTAAAGAGGAGAGTGAAGACGTGGAGATTGAAGAAACATTCAACCATGAAGATCTGGAGGAACAAACAGGTTGGTTTTCACGTTGACCTCATATTATCACTATTCATATAATTTTTTGGAGAGAATAACATTAATTTAAAAAATAATTTTGATAAACGATCAAATATTAATTTTAAATATTTTATATACCATCCAAATCACATGTCTTTGGACTGTGGGAGGTGTTTTTGACAGTTTATGGAATGTAATAGGTTTAAGAAGCTCTTAGGGTACAGTTTTCCTAACCTTATAATTTGGGATGCCCATTTCGGTTAATTTTGTTGCTCGTTAACCGAATATTAATCGTTAACAGATTAATATTACAACATTATTTAATTTTTTTTAAATTACTTACCTATTTTGTGTGACATGAAATATTGCATTTAAAAATACTGATTTATTTTAACATGCGAACAGCATACAGAGCATAACAGAGCATCTTCACACACCTGCAGTGTTTTCAGCAGATAGAAAAAACCCAGCACTAAACAAAAAGAATAAAAAAATAGGCCTGCGATAGATATTTTTCACTTAAATGAAAAATTTAGTAGTGATGGACCGTTCATGAAGATTCGTTCATTTTGAACGAATCTTCAATATGACTCGTGAACTATGAGTCCTCTCAGGGAGTGATTCGTTCATCCGCGTGTGCGCACATTTGTGCAGGTGGTATCGTTAATTTCAAGTCTTCATCACATTGGCAGGAGCCAATCATACGCGTTTAGAGCCGGAAAAAGAATTAAACCGTTCACATCTCGAGTCCTCTATCGGGTCTGAGTCACTCGTTCCTCACGGGCCAATCATGTGCGTTTAGAGCCGGAAAAAGAATTGAACCGCTCGTCTCTCGACTCCTCGGGTTTGAGTCATTCTGTCACGTAAACAACGAACGATCATGGCTCCTTTTGGCTTAGACTGTGCATTGATTAAGATTATATGTGACTGTCAGTGTAACGTGAATGAACCCCTGACATTTGAAGACATGAAGAGGTGAGCTGAGCAAAGAAACAACAATACCTTCATAGACAAAAGAGCAGGTAAACATTGAAGTATTATTTTCTCCTTCTTATATTCTACTTATGACTTATTTGTCATGTGATCGACCTTTTGGGCTAGTTGTAGATGTGTTTGGAAGCAATTCGAAACATTTTAATAATATTTTGGCAAATTGAACCAAATGAACGAAATGACTCGATGTTCAACTTGATAAACGAGACTCAAAGATCCGAGTCAGTAAAATGATCCGAACCTCCCATCACTAAAATTTAGATTACAAACGAAAACACTGACTGAATCCTTTTTAAGAACCGGCATGGGCTGTTTGTCCAATCATGTTTTTTTTTCCGTCAAATAAAAATAGGCTACCTCAAATAGATCACGCCATGGAAAATATCCATTTAATTAATGCTCCGCTGTTAGTATTATATGACAAAACCTCTTTGAACATTTTTATGATAAGTCGTTAGTTTAAAGATTATGTATTAATTATGATTAAGACTTAATTCATCTGTCTCGCTCGCGGTTCATGTGTGCGTGCGCTGCGTTTAATGAAAGACGATGACAATTAAGGCTCACATGTTGACTTTTAGTATAGGCTACTACAGCATTGAACACTTTTGTTGTTCACATATGATATTGCATTAATTATACATGTTTTATAAGCTGTATTTTTTTTTTTTTTACACCACAATATCAATCATTTACACTTTTTTTTAAACAACTAAGAGTAAACAAGAACCTCAGTCCCCCATCCCACGCCTAAGGAGGAGAATTAGAATTAACATTAGCACCTACAAGAATTGTCAAAGCAACTGAATAAATATACATGGTCATGGGGAGTGGAGAACATGAGTCTGATTCCAGCGACGCTCCAGGGACAGACGAGTCTTCGCTGAGGCCATCTTCCAGCCTAAATCACGGCGAATGAAGCTCTGCACAAGACTTTTGGCCAGCGGAGAAATTAAAATGGTCGTGCCCAACTGAGTCTGGTTCTCTCAAGGTTTTTTTTCTTCACTCCCATCAGGTGAAGTTTTTTTTCCCTCTCCGCTGTCGCCACTGCCTCGCATGGTTCAGGATTGGTAGAGCTGCGCATCGATGAATTGGCTCTTCAGTGTTTGAACTCTCAGTAATGATTAAATCACACTGAACTGAGCTAAACTGAACTGAACTGAACTTAAACACTAAAACCTGAACCACACTGTTCCAGTTACTATGACCATTTATGTGAAGCTGCTTTGACACAATCTACATTGTAAAAGCGCTATACAAATAAAGCTGAATTGAATTGAATTGAACATAAAATATAAATAACACACACATACATTAATAGAATGAGCAGAGATCTTTCTTAAAAGAAAAAAAAAAAATCTTATAAATCAGCGAAGAGCCGTGTTGTATTCCTGACTAAATTAATTAGAGGATCCCAGTTTTTATAAAATCTTTCAGTGGAACCTCTAAGTGTAAACTTTGTTTTCGATATATAAAAAAGACATAAAAATTTCTAACCAACTGACAGTGGAAGGAGGTTTAGGACAGTGTTTCTCAACTAGTGGGTCGCGGGAACATTTTCAATGGGTGTGTGTGGTGTGGTGTAATTTTGACTTATTTAGGTTATACCTGACTTTTATTTTGAAATGCGTACCCAACAACCCTACTGTTTGACATGTGAAATTTCATTTCATTATAGCAACAAATATGTTGAAGCGCAAGTACGAGCCTGAGTATGTAAAGTATGGATATATATATTGACGACAAAAAGACTTAAAGCCTCAGTGTGTCATATGTTGTGAGGTGCTCTCATAAAAGCTAAATTAAAACAACATTTAGAAACCAGAAAACTTGTTTTATTAACGGTATTTATCGTTTTCACTTCGTAATATTTCTAGAATTTGATCCATTTTGTTAAATGACAGCAATAAAATATTGTTTATTTGTAAGTCTTGGTGAATTTCTTATTATGTATCTGTCACTACTTGTGTATTTTAACAAATAGATACAAATTAAGTATAATTCCTAAAATTGTATTATAGTTCCTAAAAATTTGAGTCGTGGCCTGATGACCATGTAAAAATATGGGTCCCATGGCCAAACCAGTTGAGAACCACTGGTTTAGAAGACTTCCATCTTCGGGCTATCAGTGACGCAAAGGCTAGAACATTAGCATTCTTAATTGAAAGGTTGTCCAACAAAGCCGATACACCAAAGATAGCAATCAAGGGGCATGGTTCAAGAGAAATGTTGAAAATTTTAGAAAAAAGTATCAACGAACAAACTTTAAACAAGAAAAAACACATGTGGGTATGATCAGCAGGAGCCAGGGAACACCTATTACAATAAACATCCACGCCGGTGAATAGCTCACTTAATTTAACATTCGTTAGATGAATTCTATGGAGAGAAAGTCCAAGTTCTTTCTCCCATTGATGCTTAAACTTAGAAAGTATAGGGAGGAATCATATTTCATAAGCTTGATATCGAGTTGTCGTTCTGAATTTAGCACCTCTTGTATAAAGAAGGCTCTGACAGGTTAGGAAATGACGAAAATTACGCACTTGAAAAAAACGAAACAAATGAAACTGAGGAATATCACATTTTTCTACAAGGTCAGAAAAACTGCATCAATAAAAAATCTGAAAAAATGAAGGAGGCCTCTGTTTTCCCATAAAACTTATAAGCTGTAAAATGAAAGCCTCAGTTTGGTGGGAAGTTATCATTATGCAAAAATCAAGAAAAACTTTAGATTTGTTTGATTGGTAGATTATGTAGGCTATTTAAAAATGTATATTATATAAGAACTGTTAATAACTGTAATTTTCCAAATGGAAAAAGGTTGGTTTGTTGGTTGTAGCCATGGGCGTAAATCCCGTAATGTCCCCTCCCATCCGAGGGTTGTCACCCCTCCAAAAAATAAAATAAAATATAAAAAAACTCTCAATTGTGAAAAATAAATGTAAATATAGCTAACATATTTGTCTAAGAAGAAAGAAAACCGCATTTAAAATTTAAAATGCATTTAGAAACAGTTGAGTTCCCCCTCCCCTACCTTAGAGTGGTTCGGTCCACTGAATGCTTTCCCTCATTCGGCCACTCAAACACACACATACACGTCAGGTGTATTTTGTTCACCTTAAATAAAGCGATTCTCCTCGATGTAGTTAATACAGACTCGTTCAGAAATTAGTTGAGGTAAAAACAGCTTTTTACCCATGTAATTCTCCATGAATCTTCTGTATTAGCGATTAAAACTACTCATCTAGTTAACGTTAGCTTGTTGCTAACGCTAAAGCCGTTTCCCATGCACTGTTTCATTTGTGACGACTTGGCATAATGTTAACTTAACATTAACGACCACAATGAGCATAATATTTAGTTGTGTGTTTGCTAAATGAGCACTGAGCACACTGAGCACACTAACTCCACTGTATTTTTGTATAATCCGTTTCTATTCTGTTTTAAGTGACTCAATTAATTTGAAATTAAAATGTTAACCTTTTTTTATTCTTTGTTTTTATTGTTGTGATTATTTTTGCATTCTTTATGTAAAGCACTTTGAATTGCCATTGTGTATAAAATGTGCTGCAGTATAAATAAACGTGCCTGGCAGTGTCATGTATTGGATAAAATGACAGAAAAAATAGACATAAGATAATTGTTCAGTGCAGCTAAACGCCGAGTACAAAAAGTTCACATATTAAGCAATTTGGCATTCAGAATGAGTGCTTATGAAAATACTAATGTCACAATATCAATCGCAGGCAAAGGAGAAAGTAGTGATTGAGGAACAGGCAGGGCAGGGTCAGTCAGATGTACAGTGTCAGGTAAGGGTGTTGTGGTTTATTGAAGGGATAATGACAATTCTTTCGGGGTGAACAATTTTTTTAGGTGTTTTTGGAGTTGTGGCCGTCTAGCAGATTTCACTGGCTCACTGATTTACAATATGATCTGTCATTTTAACGTTTTTAAAGTTAGTTATTATGGGTATGTAAAATGTCTTTTCCTGCATTTATTTTGCTTCAGGAGTCAGTCAGTTGACTGTAAACAACACAACAAACAATGCAATAAATAGTTTTGATTATAAAATTTGCTTTGTCATTGAACCTGAGAAAAACTCCATGCTATAATAATAATAATGATGATGAAACCATTTTTAACTGTGTGGACATATCTTTAATAGTACAATTCGGCTGTATTATTTGTGTCCCCTTCAAAAAAGTGCTCGAAAGAAATTTAATAGTTATTGTTCCCCCCTACTGTTAAATCAGATTTACGCCCCTGGTTGTAGCCTACACTAAATCATCAAGAGCCTATTTGTTGAGTTTATGACGCGGCTCCAGGCGATCATCATCAGCTCTGGTTTGTCAACACAACTGTGTCCAGAAATATTCTTCTTTCATTTTGCTTCTTTGGCAAAATACACCTGTACGCACGTGTTGCAAGTGTTAAAGTTCCGCGAGTTAACAAATATGTGTTGCACATCAGGGGCCGATCACAGCGAACGCGCTTTTCCATTCCAAAAACGCGAGGCGCTTGTCATGTTGACAAGAAAATAAGAAGCGAGGTGCTCTTTTGTATGTAGGAAACGACTAAAACAGCTGAGCCGTATTGTGCGCGAGTGTTGCTGTTAGTGTTGTTATTATTGTAAGTTTTTTTAATAGCATTATTATTTTCAAGATTTGTAGAGTAATACAGCTCTAGATGACTTGAAACAGCGACCACTAGTCTCTCCTCCATCATTAAAAGCTTGCCGTAGTCGTCTTGACAACACAAACACTGCTGTCACCTCAAATGAAACCCCGCCTTCATTTAATTGAAGAAGGAAAAAGTACGCGACTGAGGTAACACGCTTTTTCCGCTCGAGCGCGTAAAACACTCACGGCCGTTAGTAAACCATTCAAAAGATGCACCTCTCAGTACGCCAAACTTTAAAAATCTATCAAATAATATTTTTTAATCGTTTAACTGATACCATTAATCGGTTACAAACGCACCCTTTCGGTTAACGGGTAATCGGTTATTCAGAGTATACTTAGGGAAATGTCAGTTAAGGGGATTCATGCAACACGATTCACTGGTTTTAAGGAGATTACTCCCAGCCACGGATCCTGACAAACCACAGACCAAAATACAGTCACCTTCGAATTCTAGCCGTGTAATTCTGGATAAGCTGCCAATCAATTTAGTCTCGATTAAATATATGATTAAATGCAGTCGACCCTCACCAAACTATGTAATGTACATCCTGCCTCGGTGCCCATAGTATGCTGCTTGCACGCACATCTTGCCTCCCTTGACAAAGTATGATACTCATGCTACTCGCCAAGACAGAGGATGTCAGAAAACCCTCAGTACATCATAGCCAGTTATGTATTGTTACTAAACCAATACCAGATCAACCTAGTCTGCACAGTGAAGCACCAAAACAATGATTCAGTGATTTAGGTCAGGGGTTCTCAAACTCGGTCCTGGAGGGCCAGTGTCTTGCAGGTTTTAGCTCCAGCTTGCCTCAACACACCTTCTAGAAAGAAATGTTTCTAGAAAGCCTAGGACAAGGGTCTCAAACTCAATTTCTGGATGACATCTGCACGGGACTGGATTTTTAATCCTACTCCCGCCATGTTTTATTCCGCACCTGACCGCTCCCGCCATACATTGTCTTTGTTCACCTGCTGCACGACTCGCCACGTTTTCTACCCGATCGTTCCTGCTAAATTTAGATCTGGGTTCCAAAATCTCCCATTAAAATTGGGCACTACCAAAAGAGAGAGATAACCGATAACAGTGGAGGTTGTGCAAGGATTGTAGGCTAGTTTTGGTTCCCCCTTTGGGATGAGACATGAATGCTGCGTGATGTGCGGTGAGGTTTGTCGCTGGTGAGGCACTGACTCTTTTAAAGTCAGATTCACAAACATATATTTGACAACTACTGATTGTGTTTCATAAATCCTAATATCAGCATTATTTCTATAAAATATAAAATGTATAGTAATTAAATTTCAAAAAACAATATGCTGTATGCTATCTTGGGAGTGCGATGTTGTTAGTCCACCTGCTCCCGTTCAAATTACACTTGAGTGCTACTGTGTTTTATTGGGAAATTTAGAACAAGATCTCTGGTCTGGTCCTGCGGTACAGCAACGCAAATGCAGACCACTAGCTCGAACCACCTCCGACTCAGACCTAGTTAACAGTCTGTAGTACACCTTGATTAGTTGGATCAGCTGTGTTTGATTAGGGTTGGAGCTGCCGCCCTTCAGGAATTGAGTTTGAGACCTATGACCTAGCTTGTTTAGCTAGCTCAGGTGTGTCTGATCGTGGTGGGAGCTAAAATCTGCATGACCTCCAGGACCAAGATTAAGAAACTCTGGTCTAGGTAGAGTTGCACATACACAGGTCACTTTACTGCTGGGTTGCTGGTTTTGATGCTCTAAATCAGGGGTCACCAATTTCGGTCCTGGATGGCCGGTGTCCCTGCAGGGTTTAGCTCCAATTTGCCTCAACACACCTACCTGGATGTTTCAAGTGTACCGAGTAAGACCTTGATTACCTTGTTCAGGTGTGTTTGATTAGGGTTGGAGCTAAAACCTGCAGTACACCGGCCCTCCAGGAACAAGTTTGGTGACCCCTGCTCTAAATATTTGTTGCTATTAGCCAATAATTCAGCCTAATCTTTAACTGTCTTTTTGCTTTAGATCTGTTGTTACCAAAAAAGGAGAATCAAGATCTGAGTAAATCGAAGATTGAAAATCTGGACAGAAATCATTTCAAAACTGGAAAGAGATCTTTTAGATGCCCACAACCCGAAAAGTCTTCCTCACAAACAACAAGCAAATGTTACGAGTGTGAAAAAGTTTTCCAATCTAGAAAAAAATTCAAAGAGCACATGCAAACGCACTTTACAGATGGCTGTTTTCCATGCCAGCTGTGTGGAAGGAGATGCATAAACTGGAGAGCGTTTAAGGATCACATGGTAGTTCACACTGTAGAAAAACCTTTCAGCTGCCAACAGTGTCCAAAGACCTTTGTTCGAAAGGATAAACTCAAAATCCACATGACAGTTCACACCGGAGAGAAACCGTTCAGCTGCGAACATTGTCCAAAGACTTTTGCTCGAAAAGATAATCTCAGAAGCCACATGAAGGTTCACACTGAAGAGAAACCGTTCACATGCCAAGAGTGCGGAAAAAGTTTCGCTCAAAAAGCATACCTCAGAACGCACATAAGAGTTCACACCGGAGAGAAGCCTTTCACCTGCCAAGAGTGTGGAAAGAGCTTCGTTCAACAAGGGGTCCTTAAAGCCCACATGAAGACTCACACTGGAGAGAAGCCTTACATTTGCCATGAGTGCGGAAAGGTTTTTTCTCACTCTTTAAACCTTAATACCCACATGAGAGTTCACACCGGAGAGAAGCCTTTCGCCTGCCAAGAGTGTGGAAAGAGCTTCGTTCAACAGGGGCTCCTTAAAGTCCACATGAGGACTCACACTGGAGAGAAGCCTTACACTTGCCAACAGTGCGGAAAGGTTTTTTCTCACTCTTTAAACCTCAACATCCACATGAGAGTTCACACCGGAGAAAAGCCTTTTACGTGTAAACCCTGTGGAAAGAGTTTCAGCCAAATAGGGACCCTCAAGCTCCACATGAGAACTCACACTGGAGAAAAACCCTTCAGCTGCCAGCAGTGCGGAAAGAGTTTCAGAGTAAAAATGAACCTTAAAAATCACATGAAAGTTCACACCGGAGAAAAACTTTTCACCTGCCAGCAGTGCGGAGTGAGTTTCAGAGTTAAAAAGACCCTTTCTTCCCACATGAGGGTTCATGCATCAGAGTGAGAAGAGTTTGACTTGTCAAATATGGAATGACATTTGCAAATTCATTCTTTCAGCAGCTGAGTGTGGTAAGAGGATTAAAAGCGAGCTTTTTAGAGTGCCCTCACTAATATCTGTCCTTTTTACTACCCATTGTAAGTATCCAGTTGTGTTCTGTTGGATTTCACTGTTAAAGAGTCCCAAGTATAGGTGCAGTCCCAAGCGCGCACCTTCCGCTGGGGGAATTCAAGTATTGTCTTATTGTGGTGGCACAAGTGGGACCAAGAACCAGTCAGAGAGAGCCCATATGAAGTCAACTTTTTATATATGTAAGTGAAGTTTATTTCCTTACTAATTTTGAGAGGATCAAGTGCTTATGATTGACCACAGCTGGTCCCACATTAGCTAACACATGATTCACCAATCGGATGATTCCTAAGTCACTATAAATAACCAAAGTTTCTTACCTCTGTTATCTTTGTCTTAAAGAACCCACCCTTTTCTAGATGGGCGACACGGCGGCCCAGTGATTAGCACTGTTGCCTTAAAGCAAGAACGTCGCTTGTTCTCCCTGTGCTTACGTGGGTTCCCTGGTTTCCTCCCACAGTCCAAAAACATGCGACATAAGTGAACATACCAAAGTGGCACCATAGTCGAGCTCTTGTGCTGTTCACACCAGACGCAGTACACGTGGATAAATTGCGCAATTCACTGAACAATAGATGCGGATTTGCGTGATGGGCAGGGCTTCTGTCTGCCCGGTGACTGTAGCTTCATTGCTAAATGGCTAACATGGATTCATTGAGAAAATAACAGTGTTTATGTGGTTTAGGAAGGCTGAAAAACAGCGTCAATCCATTTGGAGCCGTGTCTGAGTCCATTGGAACCTTTCAGAGGTGCACCCAGCTCTGTGAGCTCATAAACTCCTCCAGAAACTCAACCTGGACGAAGGAAACTTTTAGCGGTGCCTCCGACTGAGCCGAGCCCAGTTTGATCAACTGTTGTCTGGTGTCGGCAAGAGCATTTCCCCCCGGGACGCCATAAGCACACCCCTACAAGAGAAAGTCCACTGAAGTTCAGTTTTTCAAACTTTTGCTATTCGCACGAAACTCTAAAACTAGTGCCGCTCCATTTGCACCACCTCGTTCACACATTTTGCATCGCAGGATGTCTATTTGGGTCTCGTGCTTGACACTTCTTTCACGTCTGGTGTAAATGCAGCATTAGTAAGCCGTATATCTCTCTATAGCCATCCCTATATTAGCCAGAAATAAGTCAAGGGGTTCATCAAGATCTACATGAGCTCAAGGTAGATCAGGGCTCTCTCCTGGGACAGCATGAAAAGTTTAATATTTCTTGTATTTTGTAAAATGTTTAGTTTGTTTCTGTTCTTGCATAAAACTGTTTGATACTAGTGTACGGCAGAGGTAAAAAAAAACTTCAATTATGAAGCTATCAAATTAAGACGCTGTTTTAGGAATTAATTTCTCTTGGCTTATAGCCATTGTTAGCTATAGATGTTTTCATAGCTTGACTGAAGTGTATAATTGAGTTTTCCTTCGAAATAATCTTAATCTAAAACATTCTATATGGTTCTATATAATCTAAAACTCAATATGGTTGTCAAAATACATTTTCATGATGACTCGGACTGACTAATGTACTGAGAATATGTCCTCCATTTGTACTATGTCACAGTAGTGTGTAGTCGAGACGCAAGTGTGAGTAATTAAAATGCTCCAACTGCCTAATGATTTTGACATTGTGCTACTTTGATTAACGTGATTTCATCAGTGTTAATTTTGACAGCGACTTTAAACTTTGTTTTGGTTGTGGTCTTTTAGTCTACTAAATCCGTTGTAGATTATGTCTAGGTTTACCAGACTAAATTTTATAGGAATGTGGTCGACCAAATCTACTCTAGATTTACTTGATTAAAATGAATAATGACAACGATTTGAAGGACAAGCTAAAGTTTAAGATTTTTTTTTTTTAGAGCCCATGTCCAAACTCGGTCCTGCAAAATTTAGTTCCAACCCCAATCATACACTGCTTTCTAGAAACTTCCTTGCAGGTGTGTTGAGGCAAGTTGGAGCTAAAATCTGCAGGACACCGGACCTTCAGGACTGAGTTTGGACACCCCTGCCCTAGAGAGATGAAATGAGTTCATTTCTCCGGAAGAAGTCTTACATTTGGCTAAAATGTTTGTGGGTCTACCTTCAGAATTCTGGGATTAAAGTAAACATGTAGGACTAATCCAGGGGGGTCCAAACTTGGTCCTGGAGGGTTGGTGTTCTACAGATTTTAGCTCTAACTTGCTTCCACACACCTCCAAGGATGTTTCCAGAAAGCCTAGTACAGGGGTGCTTAGATTTGGTCATGGAGGGCCAGTGTCCTGCAAAATTTAGTTCCAACCCCAATCATATACTGGACTAGCTAACCAAGCTCTTACAAGGCTTTCTAGAAACAGTGTTCAGGCAAGTTGGAGCTAAAATCTGCAGGAGGGCCGAGTTTGGACAAGGATGTTTTAGAAAGCCTAGTACAGGGGTGCCCAAACTCGGTCCTAGAGGGCCGGTGTCCTGCAAAGATTAGCTCCAACCCCAATCAGACACACCTGGGATAGCTAATCAAGCTTACTTAATCTTACTAGGCTTTCTAGAAACATTCTTGCAGGTGTGTCGAGCCAAGGAACTAAAATATGCAAGACACCGGCCCTCTAGGACCGAGTTTGGATAACCCTGGCCTAGTAAGAGCTTGATTAGCCAGTCCACGCATGTCTGATAGGGGTTGGAACTAAACTTTGCGAGACACCAGCCCTCCAGGACCAAGTTTGGACATCCATGGACTAATCAAAGGCGTTCTTCCTGATTCACTGCCAAATCTGTTTACAGGCCAAAGAGAAATCAGTAAATTGCACTAAGTCCTTGTTAAATGCGTCGCTCTTGGCAGGATTCATCATACCGTGTAATGAATTACCTGTGAAAGCCTCAATATTTCCTCTGTAATACCTTGCCTGTTTAATGTAGGGCTTTAAAATTAGCTCAATGGCTCAAAGATGTGACGCATGTAGGTGAGAGCAGAAAGTGTACCCTTTTCTTAAACACTACCCGACAGAGCAACAAATATTAAAATGCAAAGTTTAGTTCCAACCCTAGTCAGACACACCTGGACTAGCTAATCAAGCTCTTTCTAGGCTTTCTTCTAGAAACATCCGTGCAGGTGTGTTGAGACAAGTTGGAGTTAAAATCTGCAGGACACCGGCCCTCCAGGACCTAGTTTGGACACCCCTAGTCCAAGCAAAGTCAGACCTTACTGTCCTGTAAAATCTTTACATTTTCATTTAAGTTTGAGTACATTTCTTTATTTGCTGTAGTTTATAAATCACGTCTTGTTGTTTTCGTAAAGTACAGCGAGTTGTTTTTGTGCAAAATTTACAAAACACTTCAAATTTACTTAACAATGGAGAATGGAAAATATATACATACATGCTAAAAAAAAAAGTATGATACAAAAAGGAGACGCATATTGTTACACGCTTAATAATGCTTCAGTGTGTGGTACTCCTCAAAGCACGGGACAACACACAAGGGAGTGTTGCACTGCAAGCACATGTATTTAGTCAGGCGCCTCCGCTTGTCCTTGCGTGTCCCAGAAAGGCAGACCTTGCAGTGTCGTCTGGTCCGGCTGCCCTGGGAAGCGGTCTGAGGTACTAACGATGGGAAGTGCCTGTCCGTAAGGCGCAGAGGAGTCTCTAAAGCAGGACAGCCCGCTGTAGAGGGACATCGAGATGTGCTGTACTCCTCCAGCAGACCTTTCATTACGTTCACCTTGATTTGGATGGAGGTGGTTTCTTTCCCTATTGAAGGTAGAGCACATTAATCGGGAGGATGAGGACATATCAGTAGTCTTAGTGATTAGGATATTTATGTAGAGTTGCGAATTACAGCTTGGTTTTAATGAACTGATGGTTCTTTTTTGATCTTGTTATTCTTTTAAGGCAGGGGTCACCAATCCTGGTCCTGGAGGGCCGGTGTCCCTGCAGGGTTTAGCTCCATCTTGCCTCAACACACCTGCCTGGATGTTTCAAGTATACCCAGTAAGACCTTGATTAGCTTGTTCAGGTGTGTTTGATTAGGGTTGGAGCTAAAATCTGCAGGACACCGGCCCTCCAGGAACAAGTTTGGTGACCACTGTTTTAAGGAATTCAGGTAGTTCCTGTGTTCAATCAATTAATCTTTATTTCTCTTGCGCAGGGGTGGCCAATCGTGTTCCTGGAGATCCACCTTCCTGCAGATTTCAGTTGCTACCCATATCAAACACACCTGAACCAATTAATTAGGACCTGAACACCACGTGATAATTACAGGCAGGTGAGTTTGATATGGGTTGCAACTGAAATCTGCAGGAAGGTGGCTCTCCAGGAACAGGGTTTGCCACCCCTGCTCTAGCGCTACTACAATGTAGATAGTGTCAAAGCAGCTTAACATAGAAGTTCTAGTCAACTGAATCTGTGTCAGTACAGTTTTCAAAGTTTAGTTGAGTGTGGTTTAATTTTCAAAGCTGAAAGTCCAAACACTGAAGCGCAAATCCAAAACACGCCAACTGATTGCATAATTATAAGAGACCAATGGAAGCTCAAAAATGTTTCGGAGCCAAAATAATCTCGCCCAAAATGTTTGCTTGGGTGGGTTGTTTTGAATCGTCCAAACGAACTAAAAGAGAACTATTAAATAATACTACCTAGTATTGGACAGATATAGGAGGTCATTCCACGTTCTGTTTGACGCGTTCTAACACCCCATTCACACAGGGCTTCAGCGTCAACGCTTGACTGAAGGCGTGTCTGAAGTTGGGGTTAACGCGATTGTCGTAGTGTCAGCCAATGTAATTCAGTCAACAATAGGCCACAGTCTAGCTCAGGGGTGGCCAACCCTGTTCTTGGAGGGCCACCTTCCTGCAGATTTCAATTGCTACCCATATCAAACACACCTGAACCAATTAATTAGGACCTTTACATGATAATTACAGGCAGGTGTGTTTGATATGGGTTGCAACTGAAATCTGCAGGAAGGTGGCTCTCCAGGAACAGGGTTTGCCAACCCCGGTCTAGCTGGTGTATTTGCATACAGCAATCTGATTGGCTGACGCTTCCTTCGACGCTTGAAAAGTTGACCTAGTCCCAACTTCTGCACCAAGCAACATCTCTGAAGCGGCGCTGACGGATCCACAATGCAATTCGGCAACGCCTGACGTCACCCATTCAAAGTGAATGGAAAGTGTTGACGCTGACGCCCCGTATTAATAGGGCATTAGGCCTTTAGCGTCCGAGAATCATCTCATATAATCTCAGAGACTCAAATACAGTGACTCAAAGTGATGGAGATAACCAACCTGTTTGTTCCTCAGGATCCTCCTGTTTGACGAGGAACGTTTCTTCAATCTTCACGTCTTCTTCTTTAATAAACTCCATCTTTATAGTCGCTTCAGCAGGAGCTTCTCCGTTTGAGAATGCTTTAAATGCTAGATAACAACAAAAACACACATGTTTTAAAAAAAATGATTTTGCTGTATTTGACTAAACTCAGAGGTGTCCAAACTTGGTCCTGGAGGGCCGGTGTCCTGCTGAGTTTAGCTTCAACACACCTGCCTGGAAGTTTCTAGTATATCTAGTACAGGGGTGCTCAACCCTGGTCCTGGAGATCTACCTTCCTGCAGATTTCAGTTGCAACCCTTATCAAACACACCTACCTGTAATTATCCAGTCCTGTTCAAGTCCTGATTAATTGGTTCAGGTGTGTTTGATCAGGGTTGGAGCTGAACTCTGTAGGAAGGTAGATCTTCAGGAAGAGGGTTGAGCACCCCAGTTCTAGGGAGAGCTTGATTAGCTTGTTCAGGTCTGTTTGATTAGGGTTGGAGCTAAACTCTTGAGGGCTGCGTCCGAAACCGCATACTTCTATACTATACAGTACGCTAAAATCAGTATGCGAGCCGAGTAGTATGTCCGAATTCATAGAATTCGAAAATCAGTAGGCGAGAAGTACCCGGATGACTTACTACTTCTGGCGAGATTCTGAAGTGTGCATCCCATGCATGCTGCGCTATCCCATAATGCCCTGTGAGACATTACATTCAAATCCAGTACCTACTTAGTAGGCGGTTTCGGACGCAGCCCAGGACACCGGCCCTCCAGGACCGAGCTTGGACACCCCTGATTTAACTGATCTTGGGTGGCTTGCCAATGTTTCAGATTACTCTAATACAGCAATGGCCAAACTAGGACATGCGGGCTAGAGTTGGCCCATGGTAACCTTTGTTTTGGCCTACCATCCTATCTGAGAAGAGAGGGAAGAATGATGGGGATGGAGACTCGTTCCTGGAGTGCCGTTGTCCAGGAGAGTTTAGCTCCAACCCTAATCAAACACACCTGAGCCAGCTAATCAAGCTCTTACTAGATATACTAGAAACCTCCTGGCAGGTGTGCTGAAGCAAGTTGGTGATAAACTCTCCAGGACACCGGCCCTCCAGGACCGAGTTTGGGCACCCTTGGTTTAGAGATTCTCATTTCAAATTTAACGTAACCTTTTATTTGTTTAAGCTACAAAAAAAAAAAAAGGTTACCGATAATAAATGTTTCAATTTAAATGCTGTAATTTAGTTTAAAGTGTACATACTGTGACCTGAGGGATAGGAGACAATGCTGAGTCTTTGGTAGATTCTGCTCGACTCGTCTATTCAGCATCGAACTCCACTGTGTTAAAAACTGATTGTTTTTATTGCATTTAAAAGAGTTGGACTGCGTTAGTTAATACGATTAAAGGTGATGTTTTCTATTCATTTTTAAATATTAGGAAATTGCCCATGGCAACTTTAATGTACAATCGTTTGGTATGTTTATCTTTGACATTTGGTTTTTGGCCCTTCGTTCGAAAACGTTTGGCCTCCCCTGCTCGAATACATAAACTAGTTAAGCTGACCAAAGTCCTTACAGGGAGAAGACTTTATTGGAGACAGTTCCTCAGCATTGATGTTAACCTGTCAGTCTTCAAGTAACCCAAACCCAAAGTGATTTATACCAGTTACAACAAAGAATATGACCACTTGGAGATTACCCAAATGGTAACCTGTAGGCCATTTTGTTTTCCGATGCAGATGCTTGTTTGCATATGAAACAAGCTACGCAATCAATCACAACCAAAGACTGATGGTTAAACAGAACGTTGACGTCGAGGGCAACCATAAACTCTGGCTCATCAATATTTATTTTTTTGTGTTCAGCAGAAAAAATGTTTGGGTCAAGTGCGGGGAAGCAAGTTAAGGCAGAATTTTCATTTTACGCTAAACTGTATTAACAGAAAGAGGAAAAACGGCTAATTTAACCGTTTGCTGTGTTTTAGTAATGTTAGGACACTGCTGAGGGAGTCTGACGGGTCTTAAATCAACTACTATAACTAACTAAGTTATCAAGACACCAACCTTTAGTTATGACATATTTACTGTAATAACATGTATAGTATGTTAAACAATTGATACGGTCCATTTGAAATAAGTAATACGATTATAATTTACTATAAATAGCTATTGTAAGCAGTGCTTCCCACACATAGACTTTACTTGGGTGTGCCGCCCAGGAATATTAACGGCCGTCCGATTATATTTAGTGGTGGCACATATTATCATCCTTTTACACTTTTTTTTTTTTGTATCCGCCAAACATTCGCCATCGATTGGAAAATCTTCTCTCGCTCTGCTCCTACTGCTGACCCTGTGCGCGCGAGAACTGTCAACACTCCTACAGACGATCTCACGTCCACTGCAGACCCACAGAGACATGCGTTTTTGCCGAAATGGATCCGGCCGTAGTTTCTGAATCTTCTAAAATGTCTGGGATTCGGCTTTTGCTTTCTAAGTTGCCGGTATTTGTATGTTTTTGCATTACCTTTCGCAGCTGACTGCTCACGCACAGCCGCGAAAAAAACTTTAAATTATTACTTATTTAATAAACGAGTCTGGTTAACTTTACTATATTGACCTTATTCTAAAATGCGGAAGTGCGCCTGTTTTCGCGATTGTCTTAGAACTTCCGATTCATTCGCCTATGGGAGAAATGACTAGGAATAATAAACGGCAGAAAACGGTCAAACTACTCGCTCTACAAACAAATGTTTGCATGACTATACTGACCAAGTAGAATAATATAATAAGAGAATATCAAATTGCAACATCAGTCAGCGTAACGAGCAGATTTTAACGTCAAAAAATGAATGGAAGTGAATGAGACCGGAAGTCTCAAGCCAAAAAGATTCAAATGGCAGCGCCCGCTCGTCGGCAAAGAATAAGGTGAATACTCGGAGAGTACAAAATATGCCAGCCGCAAAGTATTCGTACACCATTAGAAATGGCTAATCGACTATATTGGCCTAATTAATAACAAGTTTTATTCTTGTAATTATTATTATTTTTTAGCAACGTTGACGTCTGTTTTTATTCCTATTTTCTGTCATTTATCATTTTTCTGTATATTTTATTCATTTATTGATGTTATTATATTACATACTTTATACATATCGGAAATGCTTCGACAATACTGTAAATGTCAAGCCAATAGAGACTTTACAGAACTTTACAGAGAGAGCAGCCTTCACCTGTCAGTGGGTGCTCATGGCTCTTAAATAGCAAAAAAGAGAAATAGTGGATTTTTTTTATTTTAACAGGCTTTTTTAAAAATAACTTATTGGAAATAAAAGGTGTGTAACAGTGTCATAATAAATAAAAGTATAGTTAAAATATTTACATGATTTATTTATTTGTTTGTCGTATGTAGTTGACCATTTATGTACCGTGGGTAAAAGGTGTGTTTCAATCCGGCTACCACCGCAAGTATCCATCTATCCGTCCATCTAACCATCTATCTATCTATCTATCTGTCCACCGTCCATCTATCTATCTGTCTGTCCGTCCATCTATCTAACCATCTATAAATCTATCTATCTCTATCTATCTAACCATCCATCCGTCCATCTATCTATCTATCTATCTATCTATCTATCTATCTATCTATCTATCTATCTATCTATCTATCTGTCTATCTATCTATCTATCTATCTATCTATCTAACCATCTATCTATCTGTCTGTCCGTCCATCTACCTAACCATCTATACATCTATCTATCTAACCATCCATCCGTCCATCTATTTATCTATCTATCTATCTATCTATCTAACCAACCATCCATCTATCTATTTGTCTTACCATCCGTCTATCTATCTATCTATCTATCTATACAACCATCCGTCAGTCCGTCCATCCATCTATCCAACCATATGCTGTCTATCTATTTATCTATCTATCTATCTATCTATCTATCTATCTAACCATCTATCTATCTGTCCGTCCATCTATCTAACCATCTATACATCTATCTATCTAACCATCCATCCGTCCATCTATTTGTCTGTCTATCTATCTATCTATCTATCTATATATCAATCTAACCATCCATCCATCTATCTATTTGTCCGTCTATCTATCTATTTGTCCGTCTAACCATATGCTGTCTGTCTATCTATCTATCTATCTATCTATCTATCTATCTATCTAACCATCCGTCTATTTTTTCGTCCATCCATCTATCTATCTAACCATTCATCTGTCTGTCTATCTATCTATCTATCTATTTGTCTATCCATCCTTCTATCTATTTGTCTAACCATCCCTCTATCTATCCGTCTATCTATCAATCTATCCATCTATCTATCTAACCATCCATCTATTTTTTCGTCCATCCATCCATCTAACCATTCGTCCATCTATCTATCTATCTATCTATCTATCTATCTATCTATCTATCTATCTATCTATCTATCTATCTATCTGTCTGTCCATTTATCTAACATCCGTGCGTCTGTCTATCTATCTATCTATCTATCCATTTGTCTATCCATCCTTCTATCTATCCATCTATCTATTTGTCTAACCATCCGTCTATCTATCTATCTATCTATCTATCTATCGAACCTGTGGGAAGCCCTGTGTAAGTTATTAATTACATTATAGCATATATGACTGTTAACAAATGTTCCAGTATTACTAACTGATAAACTGTAATAAATAATGTAGCGAACTTCACTACAGTAAACTGTGGTGTTTTGTAGTGTAATTTACCTTATGTTGTTGTAGCAAAATACAATATCAGCTCATTTGATTATTAGTTGTGTTACCATAGCATGTTTTACTGTAGTATTTATCATGTCAGAGATGACAGAGGATCACAACGCTTTGTTTACCTTTGACTAATTATCTGTGACCGTATTGATAATCAGGAAGAACTGATTCACTCCACAAAGAGACAATGTTATTCACAAGATAGCACATTAACACGTGTTACATTCAATTTAATTCCCACAAAAATATCGACTGCAAAAAACAAAATGTGTCATGTAGTTAAAACATGCTACCACCAGTTAACTGTACATCAACCTGATTTTAACCATGTTTGTAGTATAACATTACTTGAGGTCTTATAAAATAGAAGTAATTGCGTCAAACACGATTAGATCGCTATATTCTTTACAATAAGAGTTACTGTGATATTTAATAAAGAGATTCGCGTTGCTTAAAAGCTGTTGTAATGCGTGCTACACAAACCTTTCTCCAGCCTAGTCACAACAGACGCAGAAAGAAACCCGGCGCAAACCTATGACGTCATTTCACCATATCAAAATAAAAGTCCCATGCACAAAAATAAAATCCATCTAACATGACGTCGTTTCAAAATATCAAACTAAAAGCTCCATCCACAAGTAGTGTCTAAGATCGCATTTTGTCTAACCATCTATCTATCTATCCGTCCATCCCTCCATCCCAAGTGCTCAGCATAATTGAGTACACCGTTTTAAAAATGAATATTTTTCTCCATTTCTCAGTGAATATTTGTATTTTGGAGTATTTAAAGAAAACTGATTTATTAAACCGATATATTTATGAAAAAATATTTTAGTCACCAAACATATTTAGAAATTGAAAGATAATACAATTAAATTCAAGCAAAATATTGCAACAAAAAAATACAACCTACAAATTTTCAACTAAATTTTTCCTCTTTTTTAAAAATTTGTATTTAATACTTTTCTATAACATAAATTTGGGTGTACTTTTATAGTTTTGGAGCATTATCATAAGTTGTTTTGTTAGATAAGCTTCAGATTTGGCTTCAGTACTTTCTAATCTATTACATATGCGCAAATATATTGTATAGCTTTCTATTAAAAATATGAATTTGAAAGAGAGATTAGTAAAGGGTGTACATACATATGTTGAGCACTCTATCTATCTATCTATCTATCTATCTATCTATCTATCTATCTATGTATCTGTCTGTCTATCTATCTATCTATCTATCTATCTATCTATCTATCTATCTATCTATCTATCTATCAGTGCAATACCATATGAATATATGAAACCCAGTGGCGTATCCCAGAAATCAACATTTACTCACCTTCAAATATCCTGAACACTCGTTGGTTTTAAATCAGGATTACTGGAGTGTTTATCGAAGGTTGTGAAAAGTAATTTACTCGTGATTTTACTATTTAAATTTGAACTGTGCACATTTAAATTATTCAATAAAACTGTACGCTATATGCCATTTCAAATAGTTTTGAATTCGATTATTTTAACCTGAACTTTTGAAATAGATTGAGCCAGGTTTTTATAGACGTGGAATTCCCAGACTGCAGATTCTCAGTTTTTAACAATACAGTTTGAGGAAATTCAGGACATCAAATTCAATATTCTGAAAACCAAAACTGCGGAAATTCAGGTGGAGCAGAAAGTAGACCCGAGATCATCCACAGGCAAAAGATCTCCAAACAATTGAACGAGTTGATCCTTCTGGAGTTTTCTTGTAGGTCTATTTACATACATTAGATCATAGGCAGGACGGTGGCTCAGTGGTTAGCACTGTTGCCTCACAGCAAGAAGGTCACTGGTTTGAGCCCCGGCTAGGTCAGTCAGCATTTCAGTTTTGAGTTTGCATCCGGGTGCGCCGGTTTCCCCCGCAGTCCAAACACATGCGCTATAGGTGAATTGGGTAGACTAAATTGGACGTAGTGTGTTTGGGTGTTTCCCAGTTCTGGGTTGCAGCTAGAAGGGCAGCTGCTGTGTAAAACATATGCTGGATAAGTTGGTGGTTCCTTCCACTGTGGCGACCCCTGACGAATAAAGGGACTAAGCTGAAGGAAAAATGAATACTATATGATAGACTGAATACGTGAATATAGATTAGGGCTTTGTTTTCTCGTAGCAAGCTAAGCTTAAGAGGGTCACGGTAAAGAATATTGAGACTACAGTAGTCAAACTTACATCATCAGAAATGAGCCACCCGTCCAAACGAAGAAGCAAAGGGGTCAGATTTGATTAACGATTACAAAAACAAAGTAGTTTTAAAATGGCGTTTTAGATCAAAAACGATCCGCGTCCACACTAGCTTTTCACCTAGCGTGTCTGAACATATCTCTGTCCACACTACGCCACCAAAATCGTATATCACGTGACCATTCGCACACTCTGGGCACGGGCAATCTAGTATAAACAGGAAGCATGCGTATCGCTCGGCATTTGGTTATTGTTAGTCAACAAACGCCGGTTGAACATTAAACGCGACGGCAAAGAAAGCAAGAGAGGTATTTTTGTGGACAGACGACGAGGTCGAGTTGTTACTAAACGTAACAAATGAATAACTGCACAATGCCGCCTAAAACAGACAATAGTGCAAACAACGCTCCCATTTGTGTCTGTGTTGTTGTTTACAGTGAAGGCAGGTCTGTTGTCTTTCGGTAGCGTTAAAGCCATGTGTTATAGTCATGTGATAGGGGCTTGACGAATAAGGGAAGGATACGCAATGACAAAAAAGCCCCAATCAGGTAGCGAATCTCAGCAGCCCCGCCTCCGTTTTCAGATGTCTCCGTTTTCCCCATCCACACTGAGACGGAGCAGCAGCGTTTCAGAATGAAAACGGCCTCTCCAGCGTTTTCAAAACGCTCCGTTTTCAGCGCTCGAGAACTCTGGTGTAGTGTGGACGGATGGTGTGACCGAAGCAAAACTTCTGCGTTTACAAACGAAAAACGCATTAGTGTAAACGGGGCCTGAGTCCACTGACTCATGTGAACATCCTGGGGTTTTAATTTCATCCGAACCTCCTCAAGACACTCCAATAGGGGGTGCTTATACAGATGTTTCAGTTTCACAGGCAGATAGATTTGCATATCATCTGCATAAAAAATGAAACACAATTTCCTGAAAATATCTCCATGAGGGAGCATACGCAAGTAGGAAATAATAGGCCATAAAATAGGTATTCCTATTTCTACAGTAGGAAATAGTGTTGTCATGATACTGAAATTCGATACCAGTCAGCACTGAAATTTTAAAGGCGTCTATTTCCTGCTAACGTTTGATCGCTCTCCTTAACAGCGCTGATTTGCTATTGTGTTCAGGTCAGTTTATCTTTGGTCATTGGATTTTCATTTTAGAAATAGATATTGAGGGGCGAGGCAGTGGCGCAGTAGGTAGTGCTGTTGCCTCACAGCAAGAAAGTCGCTGGTTCGAGCCTCGGCTCAGTTGGCGTTTCTGTGTGGAGTTTGCATGTTCTCCCTGCCTTCGCGTGGGTTTCCTCCGGGTGCTCCGGTTTCCCCCACAGTCCAAAGACATGCAGTACAGGTGAATTGGGTAGGCTAAATTGTCCATAGTGTATGAGTGTGTGTGTGTGGATGTTTCCGAGAGATGGGTTGTGGCTGGAGGGGCATCCGCTGCGTAAAAACTTGATGGATAAGTTGGCGATTCATTCCACTGTGGCGAACCCGGATTAATAAAGGGACTAAGCTGACAAGAAAATGAATGAAACGGATATTGAAAAAGAGAAATTTTTTTGATTTTCGTTTTGAAATAAAAAAAACGAAAATTAAAACTCAATGCCTATCTGGGTTCGTAATATAAAAAAGAAGCCTTCATTCATTTTTGTTTTCTGGTGATTTTATTTTTTGTTATTTGAAAAAAAAAAAAATGAAAAGAAAATCATTTTTGAATTTTGCTTTTCCATTTTTCAACAAAGAAAATCGAGCCGTTTTTTTATTTTTGTTTTTAAAATTCAAAAACAAAAATCAAAAAACTCATTAAGTTTCAATTTTCGTTTTTTTTTTTTTAATGAACATCAAAAACGGCTTGTTTTTCGCTTTTCAATATCTGTTTCTAAAATGAAAACCCAATGACCAAAAGATAAACTGACCTGTTCATGTGCTCAGCAGAAATTGTGATTGGCCGTGAAGGTTATTGGTTTACCAAACTCACCGCTGATTACTGAGTGCAAACCACAAACACAGGGACACTGGAGCATTTATAACTACTCGCTACAACTGAGGTCTACAGAAGAGCATCTCTAACCGCACAACACGTCCAACTTTGAGGCGGATGGGCTACAGCAGCAGAAGACCCCACCGGGTGCCGCTCCTGTCAGCTAAGAACAGCAAACCGAGGAACCAGATGTCAATCCAATAGAGCACCATTGTGATGTGGTGGAACGGGAGATTGGCATCATGGATGTGCAGCCGACAAATCTGCAGCAACTGAGTGATGCTATCATGTCAACATGGACCATAATCTCTAGTTGAATCTATGCCATGAGGGATTAAAGCTGCGGTCACACTAGAGTTTGAGCTTGCAGAATTCTTTCATACGGCTCTGCGAAAAGGGGAGGGATTAAACAAGATGATTAGACATTTAAAAAGAGAACGATTGCTCCATATTTTCAATTCCTGTCCAGAGATATCAAGTTTTGATTGACTTCGGTCTCACGCAGTTAAGTGATGCGATTTCGCAGGTCAGAATTCACCAAGCTTGAACTTTGCACGGCAGCAACCAGCGAAACTTCTGCGAAAGTCTGGCGCATTCGCGTGCGTATGAATGGAAGTCTATGGAAGGAAAAGCCCAGTATGACCGCAGCTTAAGGCAGTTCTGAAGGCAAAAGGGGGTCCATCCTGGTACTAGTAAGGTGTACCTAATAGGGTGGATGGTGAGTGTATAAGACAGGGGTGCTCAATCCTGTTCCTGGAGATCTACCTGCCTGTACAGTTCAGTTCCTACCCTGATCAAACCCACCTGAACTAATTAATTAGGACCTGAAATCCACTTGATAATTACAGACAGGTGTGGTTGATAAGGGTTGCAACTGAAATCTTCAGGAAGGTAGATCTCCAGGAACAGGATTGGCCACCCCTGGTATAAGACTATCAATGCATCCTACAACTAAAAAACAACAGCCGAGGACATGGTGATTTCAATCAACCTAATCTAGACACATCTGAATCAAATCTGCAACCTTATGAATAATTGAACAGTTATCAAATCTCTTTATTAGGTATTAACAGGGCTTAACTCGTGCCGGAACTTGCCGGATCCGGCACCTCATTTTACCGATCCCCCTCCTCCCCCGTCCACTGTTCACCTTCACTTCCACGACTCCGTAACCCTCTTCACTTTCGCCCATGACCCCCCTGCCCTGCTCACTTTAGTCCGTGACACCCCTCCGCCATCCACCACACCAAACCCCCCCACCCCGCTCTCTTCCTCGGGTAACATGCCGAATCCGTTACCCCGCTCAGTTCCGGGACCTCGCAAGTCACAAATTAAACACAGGGTATTAAGCAAGAATATTTAAAGCAGAACCATGGGCTCAACCGAACACTGACAACAAGCGATTTAATTTATGAAAGCAAAATAAAGACAAGAGACAACAAATGACACTCCAGGTAATAACCTCTAAGTGCAGTCTCTTGAGTTAACCATTGCAACTTTTAGTCTCTCGAGTGAACTATAGTCATTTTAAACGATCAAGTCTGAAACTTCAGCCACATTGATTAAATATGAAGGGCTCTGTTCAAAAAGTGAATGCTCAAGTGAACTCGAAGGGTCGCTTTGTTCGATAAAATTTCGAGGTCTCCTTGTTGTGGACGTTCATGTGGCTTTTAAGGATTCCCTTCTTGTTGAATCTTTTCCCGCACTGTGGGCAGGTGAACGGCTTCTCTCCCGTGTGAATTATCAAGTGGAGAGAAAGGTTTCCCTGGCATTTAAAGCACTTTCCGCACTGAACACACGCGTAAGGCTTCTCTCCGGAGTGAACTCTCATGTGAACGTCGAGGTTTCCTTTTGTGCTGAATCGACTTCCACACAACACGCAGGAGAACGGCTTCTCTCCGGAGTGGATTCTCATGTGGACTTTCAGGTTTCCTTTCGTAGAGCAACATCTTCCACACTCCTGGCAAGCAAACGGCTTCTCTCCGGAGTGAATTCTCATGTGGACCTTCAGATTTCCTTTCGTACTGTAACTTTTGCCACACTCCTGGCAAGTGAAAGACTCTCCGCTGTGAGGCGTGTTATGGAGAGCAAGGTTTGCTTGGCAAACGGAGCATGTGCCACACTGACAACCTGCGCCAGTCTTCCCTCGAGAGTGGATTCTCATGTGGCTTTTCAGATTTCCTTTTGTAGAGTAGTTATTCCCACACACCTGGCAGTTGAACGTCTTCTCTCCGGAGTGAATTCTGATGTGGGCATCGAGGTTTCCTTTTGTGGAGTAATTCTTTCCACACATCGGACAGCTGAAGGGTTTTTCTCCGGAGTGAACTCTCATGTGGGTATCGAGGCTTCCTTTTCTAGCGTACGCGTTTCCGCACACTGGGCAGTTGAAGGTTTTTTCACCGGAGTGAACTCTCATGTGAACTTTAAGATTTCCTTTAGTAGTGTAACTACATCCACACTCTTGGCAGGTGAACGGCTTCTCTCCAGAGAGAAGTTTCAAGTGGTCTTTGAAGCTTCCTGCGTTATCGAAACTCTTCCCGCTTTCCTTGCTGGCGAAATGACTGACCGTGTGAGATTTGTCATTAATTACAAAACCTAGATGTTTGTACTGATCGCTCAATTCCATTTCTCCTTGTTCTTTCCTTTCTCCTTTCAGTGGTATCGGGTCTGAAGTTAAAAAAGAAATGCGCGTTAATGCAGGTTCAAGAAACCTGACAGAATATAGTGCTTTCTAAAAAGTATTCACTTTTTCCACATTTTTTTTAAATGTTACAGCCTTATTCCAAAAAGGATTGAATTAATTTATTTCCTCAACATTCTACACACAACACCCTATAATGACAATGTGAAAGAAAAGATTTGTTGTCAAATAAAAAGCTGAATAATCACATGTACATCAGTATTTACAGCCTTTGGCGTGGAGCTCTAAATTGAGCTCAGGTACATTCTGTTTCCACTGATCATTCTTGAGATGTTTCAGCAGCTTCATTGGAGTTCACCTGTGGTCAATTCAGTTGATTGGACATGATTTGAAGAGGCGTACACCTGTCTATATAAGGTCCCAGGGTTGACAGTGCATGTCAAAGCACAAACCAAGCATGAAGGCAAAGGAATTGTCTGTAGACCTAAAAGACAGGAATGAGGCACAAGGCTGGGGAAGGTTACAGAAACATTTCTACTGCTCTGAATGTTCCAATGAGCACAGCGGCCTTCATCATCCATAAGTGGAAGATGTTTGAATCAGCCGGACTCTTCCCAGAGCTGGCCGGCCATCTAAGCTGAGTGATCAGAGAAGGGCCTTAGTCAGGGAGGTGATCAATAACCCGATGATCACTCTGTCTAAGCTCCAGCGTTCTTCTGTGGAGAGAGAAGTACCTTACAGAAGGACAACCATCTGTGCAGCAATCCACCAATCAGGCCTGTTTGGTAGAATGGCCAGACGAAAAGCAAAAAAAGCCAAAAGTCATCTTAAGGACTCTTATGCTGCGTTCACACCAGACGCGGCACGCGCATCAAACGTGAGTGATTTACATGTTAAGTCAATGCAAACGCGTGAATAGACATCCTGCGGCACGAATGACGAGAATTGCGTGGTGCACATGACGCGAATGGCGTGGCGCGAATCAAGCGTTTTGCGTGAATCACTCGAGTTCGAAAATCTGAACTTCAGCAGACATTCGCGCCGCGTTAACCAATCAGGAGCTTGCTCTTGTGGGGGCGTGATTGTGACGTATCACCTGTTGTCGGTGTCTCAGGGGAAATCCTCCAGCAGACACCGACAAGAAGTTCATCAAACTGGGCTGGGCTCAGTCAGAAGCACCGCTGAAAACCTCCATCAGCCAGGTTCAGTTTCTGGAGGAGTCTATGAGCTTAAAGAGCTGGATGCACCTCTGAAAGGATGTAGTGGACTCAGACACGGCCCTAAACGTATCGCCGCTGTTTATCATCCTTCATAAAGCACATAAACACTGTTATTTTCTTCATAAAATCCATGTTAGCACTTTAGCTATGAAGCTAGAGTCACGGGGCAGACAGAAGCCCTGCCCATCACGCGAATCCGCGTCTGTTCTGAAGTGAATTTGACCCGCGAGTAAACTCAAATGTTTACACGACTATTTACGCGCGAATAGCGCAATTTATCCGCGCGTACCGTGTCTGGTGTGAACACAGCATTAGACGATAAGAAACAAAGTTCTCTGGTCTGATGAGACTAAAATTGAACTCTTTGGAGTGAAGCGTTACGTTTGGAGAAACCCAGGCCCAGACCTAAATCCTATTGAACATCTCTGGAGAGATCTGAAAATGGCTGTACACCGTCGCTTCCCATCCAACCTGAGAGATTGAGAGCTACTGCAAAGAGGAATAGGCAAAAAATTCCCAAATACAGGTGTGCCAAGCTTGTGGCATCATATTCAGAAAGACTTGAGGCTGTAATCACTGCCAAAGGTGCATCAACACAGTATTGAGCAAAGGGTGGGAATACTGATGTACATCTGATTTTTTTATTTGTAATAAATTTGCAACAATTTCAAAAACTCTTTCTTTCACATTGTCATTATGAGGGATTGTGTGTAGAATGTTGAGGAGATAAATGAATTGAATCCATTTTGAAATAAGGCTGCAACATAAAAAATGTGGAAAAAGTGAAGTGCTATGAATACTTTTCAGATGCACTGTATATGATCATTAGAGTGATTTAGGTTTAAAACCAGTTGGGAGTAAATGATTTTTCAGTCAACTACACAATTAAATAACTGAACTGAGTTTGAAGAATGAAAACCAACCTGTTTGTGACTCGGGATCTTTATGTTTGAGACTGAACACTTCAGCAAGCCTCAGATCTTCTCCCTCCTCCCCATGACCATTCTCAGCTCGCATTCACCAGGAGAATTTCTTAACGAAATCTAAAATATAATTAAATATAATTAATTAGGAGAATAATTACTAAAGAAAAAGCCCTAGTTTAGTGTAATAGTGAGGGAATCAGTCAGTGTGCTGCTTCAAATGCAGGAAAAGAACCAAGAAAGGGTTGCCGTCAATAGTCTAGTGCAGGGGTCGGCAACCCAAAATGTTGAAAGAGCCATATTGGACCAAAAAAAATAACAAATATGTCTGGAGCCGCAAAAAATGTAAAGCCTTATATAAGCCTTATAATAATAATAATCTATAGTAGCTATATTAGCCTACTATAAAAATGACTAAGTTGGCTACAAATACATAATGAGCCTTCATGATTAAATAGCCACTGAAATCAGGTGGTTGGTGTTTATTTCGTTGTCATTTAAACACTTCAGCACAGCCTCTGGTCTTTCAGTGGTATTAATTTGATCATTTCTTCTTGCGGCCCATCAGAGTTCACATACCTGCATAAAAGCGCATTGAATATCAGTCACATCACAGGCAATTGAGTATGCTGGCACTGAATTAATGTCCTTGGTTTGCAAATCGGTGATGTTACCTGCCATTTTAATAGCCCTTTTCTTAACTGTCTTAGCGGAGAGAGGTATATCTTTAATTTTTTGTATTATCTTGGTTTTGAAGTCTGCAAATAGGTGTTCTAATATGTTGATGAATGACTCCTTCATGTAGTCACCATCTGTGAACGGTTTTCCATGCTTTATTATCTCCCACTTTGTTTACAACAGCCACCTGCCTGGCATCCCGCCCTGCTGATAGAAACGTGTGTCGCAGGCTAGGGCGCAAATCTTCGTTGACAGAAATGTTGAAATTAAATTAGTTCTACACACTTTTACAGCATTGGAAAACGTTGAAAATAGAAATTATATTAAAACAAAAATATATACTAACCTTCCTCATCTTTTTGAACATTTTTGAAAAAGCTCCAGGGAGCCACAAGGGCAGCGCTAAAGAGCCGCATGCGGCTCAAGAGCCAGGGGTTGCTGACCCCTGGTCTAGTGGTTAGTGCGTCGACACATAGCACCCAGGTGCTTGCGGCAAACCGAGTCGATTCCTGGCTCGAGGTCCTTTGCCGATCCTTCCCCTATCTCTGCCCCCAACACTTTCTTGTCTTTAAACCTCCATAGTCCTATCAATAAAGGTGAAAATCCCTAAAAAATAATATTTTTTTTTTTTTTTAAATAAAAGAACCAAGAAAGGTGTTTCTTAAAGGGATAGTTCACCCAAAATTGTACAATTTTACAAAAATGAAAAGGTTGCAAATCTTTACAACTTACTTTCTATAGTTGAACAAAAATATATTTTTAAAAAAAAAGCTAAAAATCTGTAACCATTGACTTACATTATCACAAAAACCAAACGTAATGGAAGTCAGTGGTTGCAGGTTTCCAGCTTTCTTCAAAATAAAAAAAGAAAGAAGTAGATGATGTTGGGTTCTTACAAAAATTTCGGTTGAATTTAAGAACTTTTCAGATCCAGCGTTTAACAACTGTGGCAAACTACACATTTACATGTAAAAATGTTAATGGGATGTTTGCCCTAAGCCAGGGGTGGGCAAACTTGATCCTGGAGGGCCAGTGCCCTGCATAGTTTAGCTCCTACCCTATTCAAACAGACCTCCCTATAGAGTTCAAGTGATCTTGAAGACACTGATTAGTTTGTTCAGGTGTGTTTGACTAGTGTTGGAACAAAACTCTGCAAGGACACCGGCCCTCGAGGATCAAGTTTGCCCATCCCTGCCCTAAGCCCAACACTCAATAGATCCTTTTTTACATTTCTGCGTATCTCAGTAGCAGGAGCGCAGAGAATGGGAGAGTACAACAAATACTTTTTTTTACAATCCTATTTGCTGAGTTAATAAAAGAAAAACTCCACAATGGTGTTACCAAGACTTTCAAAAAGAGGGAAAAAAATTGTGTGATACTGATAGGGGTGTCACGATTTTGATTAAATTTATGCTCAATTTCGATTATCGAATTAAAAAATAGAATCGTCGATGCTGCCACGCCCTCATGTCACGTCAGCTTGGCTTGCCAAGCGGGAAAAAAACAGGCTTGTTGAAGAGCTTGTTGAACTGCAGAAGCAGGAGACCTGTCGCCTGAGCTTAAACCCTCTCCTCTTTCAACGAAGTCGTCGGTGTGTTAGCATTTTGGATTTCCAGTGAGTTATGTTGACAACGTTCGTGCTGTCGACAAAAAAAAACACAGTTTTGCAAGCTCTGCTATGTACGTATTAGGGTTCGTCCGATAGACAACACCGGCATCGCGATCCTCCGCCCGCCCCCGTTGCAAATCCGCTCGCGAAAAGTACACACTCAGGCCCTGTTTACACTGTCTTTGTTTTTAAATGGCATTTTAGAACGACAACGATTTGACATCCACAGTGGCGTGTGGCATTTCTGAGCAGCTCTCCTTCCTCACTACCTCTGAAAATGCACATCACGTGACCACACAGACACAGACGCACTCACAGCCATGCGCTCGAGACAGCAGGTCCAGGCAGTCAGAGGACTTCTTCAATCTTTCACTCACTTGTACTTAGTCATTTTAGCGAACACCTCAGATACTGTTGGCTGGTTCCTGTTGGTTGTGCGTCTTTTTTACCGATTCCATTATAACGACACAGATCACTGCCTATTCACGAGTCCCGCAGAAAAAAGTGATTGACAGGTGGTAATTATGTGTGTATCTTGCCTTTATTCATTTACTGTATGATTTGTTTATGGGTAAAACAAAGACCATGCAGGTCAGGTAGTTTAGACGGTAGGCTACTAATAATTAATTGGTCATTAATCAATTAATTATTCATAATTGAATCGAATCGTGCCTTTAGAATCGAAAATGTAATCGAATCGAGGATTTGGAGGATCGTGACACCCTTAGATACTGATGATGGCAACCAGAAGAGAAAACAACGTCAAATTTACTAAATTTAGCCCCATAGACGCTGCATTAGAAACAACTCGCACACACTTAGCAGTGATTCTGTGTTTTTTTTTTTGGTAATTTGACGCAAAGAGGATACAATAAATTCAAAAACACATATAAATGTTCAGAATTTTTTTTTCAAAATCAAAATAAGAAAAACTTTAAAGTATTTAAGATTATGTTGACTGTAAATGCGTCACCACACTATAGACACTTGCGCAGACCCCAGCGTTTACATTTCATGCAAAAGCAAAATAAATTTCATTTTAGGAGTCAATTATTATTAGGCATTTAGTAACAAATTATTACAAAAGCAACACAATTACGTTTAACTTTCTGGTCTATCGGTCAGAGGAGCCAACTCTTGTATTCAAGGACTCTCAACCAATAATGCGATCCATGTTTCCGAATGCATTCAAAACAACAAATTAAGAATACATTTTTTTACAAATACAAAATAAATTTTATTAAGTGATATAATATTATTTATTTTCATCTTATATTTATTTATCTACCGCTTTCTCTCTCTATACATTTACAGTTGAAGTCAGAATTATTAGTCCCCTGAATTATTAGACCCCCCCCCATTTCTATTTAACAGAGAGCAGATTTTTTCAACACATTTCTAATCATAATAGTTTTAATAACTCATCTCTATTTACTGATTTATTTTATCTTTGCCATGATGACGGTAAACAATATTTGACTAGATATTATTAAAGACACTTCTATACAGCTTAAAGTGACATTTAAAGGGTTTATTAGGGTAACTAGGCAGGTTAGGGGAATTAGGCAAGTTATTGTATAACAATGGTTAGTTCTGTAGACTATCGGGAAAATATATAGCTTAAAGGGGCTTATAAATTTGACTTTAAAACGGTTCTTAAAAAATTCCAAACTGCTTTTATTCTTGCCAAAATAAAACAAATAAGACTTTCTCCAGAAGAAAAAATATTATCAGACATACTGTGAAAATTTCCTTGCTCTGTTAAACATCATTTGGGAAATATTAAAAAAAAATATATATATATAATTCAAAGGGGGGAGGGTAATAATTCTGACTTCAACTGTATATGTGTGTGTTTTATGCATCCTAGGGCTGTACAATACATCATTTGAGCATCGGTATCGCTATGTGCGCATCCGCAATAGTGACATCGCAAGATATGCAATGTCCATTCTGAATTATAGTTAACCAGGAGAGCTACAGAATTTATATGTAATTGATATGATTTATGCAAAAAAACATTTCTTACTTGGAATTTTTATTATTTTTGTTTTTTAAAAATTATTTTTGGCCTTTTTGCCTTTATTAGATAGGACAGTATTGAGACAGGAAGCGAAGTTGGAGAGAGAGAGAGAGAGGAAAGGGTAGGGAAATGTCCTCGAGCTGGGATTTGAACTCAGGACGCCTTGACGTGCTACTGCACCATATGTCGACGCGCTAACCACTAGGCTATTGCACCGAACTTACTTGGAATTTTTTTGTCTTGTTTCTTGTCCAAATGTCTACATTTCAAAGCCAAAACAAGAGTATTTCACTTAGCCCACTGGCAGATAATTTCCTTAAAACTCTTAGGGTGCTTTCACACCTACACTTTTGTTTCGGAACCTGTCTCGTTTGCCCAGTTAGCGCGGTTCGTTTGGCATATGTGAATCCAGCAATCGCGCACGGATCCACGCCAAATCATTTGGTCCGAGATCGCTTGAATGAGGTGGTCTCGGCTCGATTGAAACGAACCCTGGAGCGATCCGATCCGAGCGCGGTTACATCACAGTGTTTTATTGATATGTAATAGGCTTACGGCTATATGAAGAGAGAATTATGAGTAGGGCGGGAAGGTTCGCGAGTCTCCGGATGCCCGCAAACGAGCGATGATCTCCCGGTAATCTCGCGTCTCCCTCCCGGTCCTCAAATAGGCATCGTCGCGCACCCTTCTCACCCCTCCCCACCGCATCTCTCCTCAGACACGTCGCGCGCACCTTGTCAAACACCACCACCTCTCCTGACAGCTGAGCGGGACGCTACAAAATAAACCCTGACACTCTGACCAATGTGA